CGGAAGACATCTCGCATTAATTTTTGTATCTGAAAGTGCCATTGAAAACATCTTCATTCTCGGTGTACAACTGTATCCTTCAAACCAATAAAGGATCGAAAGTGGATCTATCTGGACGATATTAACATTCCACACTTTTAGAATGGTGAAACTTCGGAGACCAAGAATAATCATTTTCTATCACGTTATTTCGGACTCTTCAGAAGACCAAGAAAAAGGATTCAAGGTATAACCAACTTTCGCCTGTCTGGGAGGGGATGGGGTTAGAAAAAAATTAATAATTCTTTTTTATCATATTTATTAACTATTTGTTAGAAGGCAGTAAGCTGTATTGTTATTGTTGGCCTAATTTTGGTAAAAATTCCTATTGAATTCTGGAAGTTGTGCCTATTTCGGAATGCTAATTGGGTTATCCCGATAACTATTTCTGAACTACTTTCACAGAGTTTTATTTAAATGCTAGAGTATAACCTAAATGAATACTAATGTTGCGAAAAAATTATTAGTTTTAAGAAGCAAAATGCGGTTATAACATCGACGCAAATTTCCTTTCAATTAATTTTGCAATGCAGAATTTTCCCTGAGGAGAAAATTATTTCGAAATCTGCAATTTTTTAGTAGCAGTTTGCTAAATTTAAAGTTCATTTTGTCAATTCGCTTTAGATTCTCAAATTGCTTAAAAAATTTTTCAATCTCATTCATATCAACGCACAGGAATTGCACTAAATATTTACCTTTTAAATATGCTTCGAAAATGAAATGTTTACAATTCGAAATAAAGATGTGATCGCTTTAATTAGGTAGACCCATTTTTATTAGTTGCAAAATTGTAATAATATTAATATTTGTTAACTATTTTGTAGAGGAATGCGTTTAGTCGCTTCAGTATATTTATGCAATATAGTTTTAATTTAAAATTTTCATAACTATTTCCATTAAAATAAGCACTATTGATTATGGATTGAGTACTTATTAAGGATAAACGCTTTCTCATGCCATTAGCTAACTATACATAATTAAAACTTATGAAAAAGTGTTTAAAATGCAATTTTTGCATTGATTTTCTTCCTAACCAGATTTTAGCACGTCTTCTACTTAAAACGTACTTTACAATACCCTGACCCAAATTTATGCAGTCACGAAACACATGCTCAAATTACCACCAATGCGAAAATAGTTCGAGTTGGTAAATTTCCATAAATTTCTAATTCGATGTGAAAGGCTGCTTAATCCAGTTCCACGAGGTCAATTTTCATTGGCTCATAGGCATTCAATACCTCATCGCGCAAGAATTTCGACAAATGCGGTGTAGTCTTGAGAATGTAAACCAGGAGAACACCCTTGAACTCATTTTTGCAGTAATTTAATTAATTCATGCTTTTCTGTTGAAAATTTAAGCGAAATTAAAATAAAACGTATCAGACAATTTTAAGTAGCATCATTAATCACATGCCACCGTGTTATTCTTGCTAAAATTTTAATGTTTTATTGAGCAAATGGAAGGAATTTTTTGTCTTTAAAAGTGTTCACTGATTTAACTTTCATTGCTCAAAATGTCAAGATTAAAAATCTTTAAGGTGTCTGGGCAGCTTATGCAAGATTAAAATTTGAATCCTATGCACAAATTATTTTGTTTTTCAACCAATTGGTGATTTTTAGTTGTGCAATTTTTACCTTTAAAAATAAGTGATCATCTTGTGAGAGTGTTACGTGATCACCGTAACTCAGTGACGCAAATAACGAAAGGAATACCTTAGGTAAGGATAAGCTACGTTAATGTGTGTGAGGGCCTTTAGTTAACTGGGTTTTTTTAACTGTAGAGGCTACCGCTCAATGGGACTCTTTTAAACCTTACTAATCCCTTTAAAAGTCCACCTAACAACAGACAAATAAAAGTCTCCAGTAGGGTCCTCTCATATTGATTGCCCTCCCCTCTCCAAATTACCTGTGCTTAGGCCGGAGTACCAAAAACAGGGAAGTATTTTATTCAAAAGTGCTCAGTGTTTGTGCATAATTAATCCTACACTTCCCGAATGTTGACCGTTGGTTACCTTTAGGTCTCTACCCTGACGCCCTCGATTGATCAGTAGGCGATAAGTAGCATCTAAGCACTTCGTGAAATGTTCCCTTGTTTGCGGGGGATTTCATTCGTAAAAACCACTTCGAATCCGTGATGTGAAAGTGATCCTGGAAGGTGAAAAGGCTAGAATTTTGACCTAATTAACTATCTCCTGTTTTACTGTTCATAAAATAGATTGTAGTTCAGAATTTCCCACTTTATGTCACTGCATGTCATTCAAATGTCCATCGTTATCACTTTAAAGAAAGCCGATGAAAATAAATATATTGATATAACCAATCCTGAAATTTAGCAAACCCGGCATTTAATTTAGAGATTATTGTACAATCTTTCAATTGAAATTGCTAAATTAATGATTGAAATGAATGCTTTATGCCAAGCCGATCAGCTTCTGAAGTCATATCTTTATGCTTTGATTCCATCATTTTATTCTTCTTCCAAATTGAATAGTTGGCAATGCACCAGTATCTAAAACATTCCACATCACCCGATATACCACTCTATTGTTCATACTATAATTTTTCTTAATGACTTCCATGCCAAATTATGTATCTGTGGCTCCCAATCACTAAAGCACTTAAATATTCAATTTTTGTCATATCTTAATGAAATTTCATAAAAAATGGTCAATTCTTCCTTCAAGCGAGATTAGTGAACTCCCCTATGTTCAAAATATCTTCAACAGTCTTATCCATTTGGCATGCTTAACCTTAAAATTAAATGAACTGCTCTAATGGCACGGAATTTTGAGGACAAAATAAAAATGTGAAATATCTCCATTTACAAAAAATTTAATTAAAGAAAACAAAACTCCTCACATCAATCTGTCGTTATTTGCTCAATTTGACCTACAATAAGGCCAATAGGCTTAAACAGAGGGACATATTGTCCTCAGAGTTACCAGCATTAGCGTTTGTGATTAAAAGGGGTGGATTGAACGCTTTGCTTAGGCAAAGCCCCTAATTCTACCACTAAAAATTGTGCTATTAATCATTTTCAACCAAACAACATCTCCCCCTCATGATTGATGTTAGGGGGAGGGGGGGAGGGGTTGGGTGGAGAGAGGGTACGTGTGAGGAGAATTCTCAAGAGTCCGCTGTTTACGCTTTTAGTTTGACATGCAAGTGGCCATGAAAATTACCTAGTGTTTAATAAATGAGGTGTAATTGAAAGATAGGATTTATAGGTCTAAGTATTAATGTTACCTTGCATCCATTTCCTTCAGGAACGCAATATCAAATGTATGTTCTGAAAACTGATCGTTAAATAATACTAATTTGATGGATAGTTAAGACATTTTGTTGCAAATTATGCTCAAAACATTAAAGGCAAAATATAAATCATTTGTTGTTTTAAGCAAGTCATTTATTCGAGACATGTCCAGTTATCACAATATGTCTATATTAAAAGGGGAAAGCCCAAAGAGTTTTCTTCTTCAAACTAGCCAGTAATGACTTATCTACGAAGGAAATCAGGGTTTTTGAACAAATGGAATGAATGGTGTACATGATTTTCAGGCCACCTTTCCTTTACCTATAATAATAAACCATTTATGGGTGCTTAGTCAAGGGCTCAATTGAAAATATTTATTTCAAATGGCAGGCGTTTTGATAGTTACCATTAGGGCTTCACAGAGGGGGGGAGGAACATTAGAGTAATTCGGGAGGGGGAATAGAAGAGTGATTCACAGATGTAAAGAAGGGAGGGGGAATAGAAGAGTGATTCACAGATGTAAAAGAAAGAGACAGACACAAAGGCTCAGAAAGGGTAAGATGAGTGCTATGTGGTAGGGGTCGAATATGACATACAGTGGAGGTGATGGTTGTTTGAAGAAACTGCCGGTTAATAGAATTTTTTGCCGTATTATTATACGTTGCCCAGGGTGCACCACGTGGAGGTAAGTTATTATACGTTGCCCAGGGTGCACCACGTGGAGGTAAGTCTATTCCACACCCCTCAATTGAAAATATCTAATTTAATGCTTTTGAGATATTGTAACACGAAGAGAATTCATATTGCTAATGCTACTATTGGGAAGAAGAGATCGAAATTGCCGTTTTTCTTCTATTTTTTTCTTGCTTCCGGATGCAGCAACATGTATCGTCTCTAAAATTCAATACTTCCTTGCAACGTTTAAAATGAAGACGAAATATCCGTCATTGTACTACCTTTTCGTGATTGATCGACGTTACCATATTAATCAGAATTGAAATGGGAATGGCACTGCCAAAAACGGAGCAATCAAATCCCATAAAAAATCGTTTCAAAGCACTACAATTTGAATGACATCTATTCTTCTGTGCCAATAGCTACATTTAGATCAATGTAAATACCAATTTTCAGTTGATATTGGTACCATAGGATTACCTGTTAGGGGTGTTTGTGATAACTTCCTTCGAGTTTGGATCAGTGTAATTTTCATGGGTTATTATTCTTTGTTGAACAAAGATATACTAAAACTTTCCGCTGTGAGAAATTTATGAAACCAGAGCATCGAGGCACTTATTTTTTTAAAATAAAGATGAACAGATTCCACTTTGGGCTGTCTCAAGGCTTGTGACTGAGATTTCTTAGCTCTGTTGTAGTCAATGGCAATTGGAAGTAAACGCTATATCTTATTTTGTGCCGCACAACTCACTGAAGTTCAGTAAATATTAGATTTACTGAATTCTCAGTGTGAATACACATTTGCTTATCATAACCAGTACTTTCCTGTTTGGGTTTAGTTTAGCTAATATATAAAAAAATTAATGTCAACTTTTAACTTTGTAACGTGAGCTTAAAATATTTCAAAATTTGAGTAAAGTCACTTTCATAAAATTTGCAGATATGTAACCAATCCATTAGCTCATTTAAGAAGGGTGGTTGTACGCAAAGCAATGTGGGGAGGGAAGAGTTGAGTGCTTTAAAAGCTCTGCTTATGGTTAATCTTGCTTCATCGCTTCTCATCGCAACGGGCAAAATTGCTTGCATTTCCTTACGCCTTCGATTGGCTGAGTTAGAACGGGCCTGGAAATCTGATTGGATATCTGGCGGACGAATCGATAGGTTGGACAAGCACTCGCACACCCACCTTAGACTCGCGCTGGAGAGCTCAGTATCGTTGTGGGGGTGGGATTTGGTAAATAGGAGGCGTTCCTGCAATTTCAGCTTTGCCTCTTCTCTAGCTTCCCCTTGCTCCATCATTTATCACCGGAATTTTAATTATCTCTTAGAATGCTGAATTATCTAAAACGTCGTTTCTCTTCCACAGAACTTATCAATGAGATTCAATCTGGGATGCGGTTTGGTGGACAACAGGAACAGCAGCCTGCTCAAAGTCAATCAACTCAAAGGCAGCCTCAGGATTACAAATACTTGCCAGAACAAGTTAGAAAACAGACTGTAGAGGAAATGTGTATGCAAGGATCAGCGGAAGGTCAAGGTCGAGGACCCCGAGTGCCGTTTCCTAGTGCGCCAAGTTCTCCAACGAAACAAGCCTCAGCGTCAGGATCTGGATACGGAGGTGCAGGAAGCGGAGGATTTATGAATACAGTGACAGGGCAATTGACTAAAGCAAAGCATCTATTTTCCACAGAGACTCTGAATTCGATTATTTCGGATGTAAAAGTACCTGGAGTTGTGAGTGGATCGAAGTGCAAAATTTTGTTGGTGATTGATCATCCATTAACTGACTGGTAAGTGGAATTGTGAAAATTATTAAAAACAGGGCCCATCAATAAATAAATAATTTTAATGCTAATCGCAACTAGTTTTAACTATACACATGAGTTGACGTCTTTATGTTATTTAATAAAATTTATTTCATTTTATCTTAATCAATACATAATGATTATTTAACTTCACCAGAATTTACAATAAAAGATCCATCTGGTTCACATCGAATTTTCAATTATAAACTTTTATTTTATGCGTTGGAAAGAGGCTCTGCTTGGAGCACCGGAGTTATTTTCCTAACTAAATGGCATAATTAAAAGTATGGCGGATCAGTTCGGTAAAAAACTTTGAATCTATTGGTAGATGGGATGGATTTATAATTGAAGAGATGGAAAATATTTTATAAATAAAGCTTATTGATTAACGGAGCGACAATGCAGTAATGAGTTGTAAATTAAGAAGGTTATTCATAGCGATTTCCATTCGGAAGGAATAATCTCCTGGTCCTGGCTTTGTAGTCTTTCCGTGTGGAGATTCAAATTCCGACATCCACCATATTAGCTAGACTTAACCAGTATGGTAGTTGCGCGCCGATAGAAATATCATTTCTGGACAGTATACCATATTCGAACAAAAGAGTAATATTTTAGGTAGGTAAGGAGATGGAAATTAGAAAAAGACCTAAGGCATATATTTGTGAAAAAGCTAGATTATATTATTTGGCGTTAAAAGTTAAATTTGAAATGATTTGACATTTGTACTTTTAGGTAAAGCTCATTAGAGTCCAATTAAGTTTAATTTGACAAGGCTAACTTCACATCAACATGCATTTTCGATACATGATCTCAAGCAGTCATGTGGGGAAAAGTGATTTATAATTGACGTTTTATCATTTTCCAATTAAAATGGATCATTTTGCTTTATTTGAACTTAATCATTCACTTATTTTTTGGTCTAAATTGTTAAAGCATTGATATCAACAATAAATAGTTGTCAAATTGCTGTTCAGAATTTTAAGTGAACAAAAGAAGAAATAGAATACTTTAATTGGTAAGAATAGCAGTATCACTTAAGATCATTTACTAAATTTGATCTTCCATTCTGAGCAAGACATTAATGAGGGTAATTCATCTAAATTACAAGTTGCAAGCAGATTCTAAAACGCTTCTTAATAATTATTCTTTATTCTTCTTCATTTTAGGGCCAAGTATATCCCTAGGCGAAAAATCGATAATGATTTTGATGTCCGGGTGGAACAAGTAAGGGCTAAATTTTGTGCTAAACTGTTTGAACGCGGATTTATTGCTTACTAATCTTTAGTTTGGTAATATTCTTAAACACAAAAAATATATAAATTTTCACTTCGAAAACAATTGCCATCTGCTCAACCCGAAATTAAATCTTATTTTGGGAAAATGACGGTAAAAATTTGTTTTAAATCATACCATATTTTAACTATTTTAAGTTCATGAAATATAGCTTATTTAAAACTCTTTTGGAAGAAGTTGATAGGATAAATGTCACCTATTCCCATGACTGCAATTTCAAATATGTTAATTAAAAAAACCTAAATGACAGTGACAGGTAGGACTGACTAAATGATTAGGTAAAAGGGAAGTAATATCGGGCAGAATTTGTCAAGGCTTCTTTCCATACACCATTGACAATGTTTCGCTATCTAATTCAAAACGATCTCTTGTTTAACCAACCTTAGTTACTAATGTCTTCCTGGACTACGCCTTGAGAAGCTTTAGTCGCCATGTCAAAAGAATTTAATGAAAAATATCAAATTTTCATTATTTTACTCTTTTTTAAAGTATAAAGAAGGCATGTACATTAACTAATGGCATTAAGAATATTGCAATAATAAGAAGAGTGTGACTACTCGAGACTAAGTCTTCCAGTGGACTTCGATGCACCTGTAGGTAGGTTAAAATTCTGAGTTGGCTGGTGTAACTAACAACCAGCGAAGGAATGTGACGAAATAAATTCCTCAGTGGGAGTTAAGGAATTTAAGGACAGCGAGGGGTGGGACTCCTGGTGTACAATATGGCAAAGTGGAGATTTGAAGGAAGTTCCAATTATGAAGTTATGAAAAGGGTCTTTACTATATCCTGGTCTCCTCAAACGTTAAGGGTAAGCTAACATTACCGTTGAATTCGGATTATGAAAAGATTATGATTAGTCTGAATGAGTTAAAGAACGAGTTTTTATTAGTTAATGATTGTCCCAGCTTGTCTTTGCTGCCCATACCAAATTGGATTCGATTCCTGGCATATTTAATAGCGTTTCAATACGATTGGTTCAACTCATAATTCATTGTGTGCAATTACAAGAATCAGCCCTTTTAAATATGAATTCAAATGAAGACTTTGGACGGCCTGACTAGACAATCCTACAAATGCTATTAACAATTTTGTCTCTACTCTCTGATGAGCATAAAACCGCGGTGAATCACTGCGTCTTTTGTCTAAAATATAACTTTATCCATGGTGTGACAAGTTATTTTCTATAAAGGCCATCTTACCTACTGGTTTAGCTACATACCAAGCGTCAGCTTGTTTGAAATATTTCTTAATCTTACAAAATTTTTGTAATTTAAATAATCATGGAATGTAGTTGTTAGAAAGCACTTGCCATATTCACATCAAATGTACATTCAATATTATTGAAAATCGCTTATGATCAAATTCGATTTCATGATTTAAGGCGCAACTAAATGATATCAGCATATCTGCCTGCCCAAATCAGGGTTGTGTAGTGACAGTTCAAGATGGTCGCTCAGCTCGCTCTCAAGCCAGGTGAGTCCACGCACTTAAAAATGCAGATTTTAGTCTTCCCATATATGCTTACTTATTTATTAAATTTGTTGCCATAGCATTTTGAAATAGCATTTTTATACATTCCTTGTCAGTTTGCTATGTTTAGGAGACTAATTTTGTTTCAAAAGTTTCTTTCACAATTGCGTCTTAATCCCTCTGAACTAAAACACACCTTGTATTGAGGAGATACCTAATGGAAAACAGTTGTCCGTGGGTTTTAATCGATAATTAATCGATATACGAAAAATCGAATGGTTCTTACACGCTCTCACGAAGGTCAGTCGATAAGGAATCATGAATGCGGAATAAAACAATAGGATGTTAGGATGTCATTATTTTGAAATACGGGATTAATCATATCCCCATAACTTACCATATATATATACATATCAGTGTCGATAATTGGTGTCACAAACACATACTGTAACGCAGTAAATATTAATATTGTCATTAAAGTCATCGTGTAATATTTAAATAAATCAGTAGGTGGATTGCGCTAGTCTATTGAAAAATAAAGCTGCCATCTTTAAAGCTCGCTACTGCACTATTGTCTCCCATGGGGAAACGAAATGAAGAAGTTTGATCTAGTTTAAATTGTTTGAATAGGGATAAATGGGAAGTCATTGGAAGAATGACATGGCAGAGGGCTGGAATTGAAAACAAATGAGAGCGAGTCTGTGGCGTGGCGCGGTTAAGTTTTTGACATTATGGCTGAAATATTTATGAAGTAGCAGGCGAAATTTGCCTAAAGATTGTCTGCTTTCGCACTTGAGGAGGTTAATATAATTACCGACTGATTTCAGAAGCCAATCTTTCTTGGGCAGGTTGTGAACGAAGTGCGAAGAAGCATCATTGTATAGACTGCAAAAGTAAGAGCTAGTGATGACGTTGTATCATACACCAAACGAGATATGTCAGTTTTGACAGGCGCTACAAAAGAGGTCAGGCGGAAATGGGGAATCGGTGATAAACTTTATGAGTTACGCTTCAGCTCACTATCAGCCTCAGTGAGATAAAAAGGAATACTGTATTCAGTTCGAACTCTACATGGTGAGACGATTTTGCAATGTATGAATGAGAGACAAAACAACGAAAACGCGAATAGGCAGAAGCAAAAGTAAATGAATTTACGAATTTTTTGTACTTTTCACATAAGGAATTGTAAATTGAGGTTCCTGAATAAAACTGCTAGTGTAAATTTCAAATTTATTCAATTTCCACTCATTGTACACCACTTAGGACGCCAGTTGTTTTATTTAAAAAAGCGCATGAGATAACGTCCAAGTGCCTAAAATCTTGTAGAACCTTCAAACCGGACTTCGTGTTGATTCGTCAAGGGCTTGGAGTTGCGACGCAGCACTATGAGAACCTGATCACAGGACTCATGTTTGGCGCGGTGCCATGCATGAATTCTGTTGAAGCTGTCTACAATATGCGCAATAAAGCCTGGCTGGTAAGTCGCTGTTATTTGGTTGAAGTAAATAGTAAAGCACCTAAAGCAACCCAAGTTAAGGCTTTATAAAGAAGCAATTCCTTAATGAGATCATAGACGAGTCCATTTGTGCACAGGGAAAAGTTTAAAATCTCCTTCTTTTAGCATAAGAGTATCTGAAACTTCACTATATGACTAGGCCAATTTAAGCCTCCATTCAGAGGTTATTTTAAACTCAAACCAGATTATTCCTCTCTCTATCTATTCAATAATAAACAATGCCTTTAGCTCTGTTAAACGGATGAATAATTAACATTCCATCCCTTGATCTCCTTAAATATTAAAAAAAATATTTTAATAAATTTGATTCTATGATTAGAACAAAAATTTCGCTTTTTCTAATGAGATATCTTTCATTAAAAAGTCAAATAAGAGTAGAAATACAAATTAAAAGTGCTTATAACTTAAGTAGATGAACCAAAATATGGGTAAGTTAGCGAGATGAATCGCGGAGGTTAACTCAATTTTCCTGTCAAATTGTCCACAACTTCAATTTTCACTTCAAACCTAAGCCCAACCTAAAAATGCCCTATCTCTAAGAACGAAAACTCCCAGATTAAATTCTTCCATTACGGAAAGTCAGGCTATCTCCTGTGCACAATCGCAACTTTCGAACAAATTTTCAATTAATTTAATTGTATACATACTTAAATGTATTGCGGAAAAAAATCGAAATATTCGATCCACTTTACAATTCAGTAATTTATCAGTCGAAAAGCTTAAAATTGGGTCACATAAACCTCTGTTTCGTTAGTGCTACCCTTACACATTTTTTTCAAATAATTTGCTAACATCTAGTACTCGCAAAATCCAGACCTTTCAGATATCCTGAGCACGAACAGGTTATCTAGCCTCCATAAACTTCACTTTTTAATGGCATCAAAAATTTTAATAAAGTTAAATATTAATTGGTACGCTTATTTAAAGGAGAATGTCGATTCATTTGCACAATTGACAATTCCATCATTTAAAATAGATTTAAGGAGCTTGGAGGCTGCCATTAATATCGAGAAATAAAAAAATAATCATTTTATTTATCTTGACAAAATATTGTCAATCTTATATTATTATAATTATAATTGGTCAAATTCGTAGATACCTATTCATTTTTACTTAGAAAATATCAGGCCATTGTGCTTTTGTTGTTAAAAATGTTTTGTTTATAGTGAAACTGAATTTCAATTAAGATTTGTAGTGAAAGCGGCACCTTTACATGACTTTGCAAGGCTATTAATTTCAAAATGTTTGTTTATTGAATTGGCCACCGTAAATTAAACATGTGATTGGTTGGAACGAAATCGATTGGCACCAGCTCAGTGTGTCTGAGAGAAAAGCGGAGATCTTATCTCCTTCCTTTGATGCTTTTCAGTTCTCCAACCTCCTAAAGATACAAAATAAAATTGGCGCGAATGAATTCCCTCTCATTGCTCGAAGTTACCAGGCCAAGAGTCAACCACTTGTAAGTTTCCACTTATATTTCAATAATTACCTTTCATATTTATTAGCGTCCAACTTCGACAATCACCACACCCCTTCCCGAAGAGTAGTAAGTTGGTCACAGAGACATCTCATGGATGCAATCAATCAAAATAGTGGAAGAGCTTAAGAGAAAAGGTTAAAGAAATAGAGATTGTGTTGATAGGTTTTTATAATCGATGAAACGCAACACTATTAATACTTTGCAAAAGCAGGACCATTTTGCGTTAATGAAACAATTCCAAAAGCGTCACGTAAAATCACTCCACTCCAACAAAATTTCCCAATCGGCAGCCTTTTCATGCTTAAAAATTTATCTACAAGTTGATTAAAAACTGTTTTGCAAAGTTAATTTTGAAAGCATCGGCTCAGTGCAAGCTCTCTGGCTGAATTCGAATTTGTCATTAAGTGGAATTTGGCAATATGGAGGATTCTGCTCTCATATATAACAAACTTATTTTGAATCATTATTATTAAATTCCAAATAGTTGGTTAACCCTCTTGACACGATAACTATTGCTGAACGTCAAATATATGAACTTTTTTCGATTAAGTAGACATATCAGTGATAGATTAATTTTAACAAAATTCAAGACCTCACTGAAATGATGAAAGGGCAGAAATTTTGTCAAAATAGTTAAGAATTGGAGAAGGTAATAGAGCACTTCGTTCTATTCGACATAAAGTGACACTTTTCTATCAGTCACAAATGAGCACTTACTGGAATTGCTCGAATTGATGCGAATTTCAACCTTTAGGTGAATTATTAATCATTTATTTACTGTCAAAGTTAAAAAGTTCCTCCTTTTTACCAAAACTAATTTCAACTTAGTTATTTTTTGAAATCTATGACACATGAGTGAACTGAAGTTTTATTCGAGACTGATGAATATTTAATTTTCATTAAATTCTTGTTATGTAATTTAAATTGATCAATACTAACAAATTTCTGAGTAACTTTAGATCAATATTATCCTGAATTATCTCTGGGTTATTAAAAAATATTCCTGTTTTAACTAGACAAAAATTCCGCTTGCAGCAATGTCTCTTTGAAGAAGAGAATATGGGCAACAAACACAAAAAGAGGTTTAATTTGGAAATCGATTCCGCCTTTAGTTTGGAGAACGGCACTGGATTCCACTAAGAACCAACGATCTTCAGCTTTAAATGACACTTTTTATTGGACTTCACAGAAATAAGTCTTGAAATAGACATCAACAAACCTTCTGGCTGAATCCCGTAGTGTGAAAGTGCTCCCTTTGGTGGTAAAACCACGCCTACATTTTGAGAAACTGAAGTTATGATGAGAATAAAGTTTATTCTGGTTGCGTGTCACTGTCACAAGGCTTAGCTACTAAAATAGAATGAAGTTCGGGTTATTAGTACAGCTGATATTGATTTCCGATTGGCATAGAGGTCACTGTACCCACTACTGGACATGCTCTCTACACGATCAGTTGCACTCCGCACCTTCAAAATTTATTTGTTCAGTTTTGTTAGTTTTGTTTACTTTAGATCTCCTATACGTGTCCATGACGATCCAGCCTATACGCAAACACTTTCTGAGCTCAAAATTGAGTAGATAACTTGGCAAGTCCAAAGCTGAAATGAATGGAATGATATATAAAGTTGGCATTTGGTGTTTCACCAGGATATATTATCTTTACTTAAATACTTCTTTGTTAACTAAAAACGCTTATCCCGTTATTAATCAGTAAGACAAACTGTTATTAATTTTTCCTTTTAACATTCTTAGGCATATATGAATTAAAACATCATAGTCAGGATTTTCACATTTATTTTGTTTTACTAAGTAATTCTAAACTGAACATGAGTAATTTTAACTGAAATTCACTATCATCCGGCTTCTTATCTATGCTTCCATTTGCAATGTAATATATCGTCGATTCCAATGATCATAAAATAACAAAATCCAATTATGGGTAATATGCACTCAATGCTAACATGTAAATATGTACAATGTAATTAGTTAAAGGCATTCATAAAGACGCTGCCCTACATTCCAGTTGGCATGCTAGTTTTCTTTATAATTATTAAACTTTCGTCCAAAATTATTTAAGTCTTTTTTCGTTATTCGACCCTCCTTTCACCCATCAAGTACACTTAAGCTCCTTAATTTTATCTTCCATCACACTTACGTCATCTTTATTGCGCTAAATCCATTAAATTTTCATAAAAGGGTGAATTTTTTTCAAATTTTCTTCCTCCCACAAGGTCGAGTATGTGCAAATGTTTGCCATTTCATTAAGTATATGCTTGCTTTCTTCTCGACGAAAATTTAAATACCTCAAACCGATCTTTATATTTAATGCAAAGTAAAAGTCATTTCCTGTACCAATGTTTATATTTTATTTGACTTAAATTTGAATTTTAAGTTGATGGTACATTGACCAACACCTACTGTTTCACCTTCGGCACGAATAGCGCTGCTTATGGAAGCTCGCCTTTCCCGAACTCTTCTGTAAATTTGTTGAAACTCCGTTTATAAGGTGCAATCCAACTTTGTGTTTACGAATGCTGTCATATATTTATTTATTTATTTCAAATGGCAGGCGTTTTGATAGCTATCATTAGCCCTTTAGTTGACTACGGGCTCCACAGAGGGAAGGAACATCGAAGTAGCATAAAGTCGAGGAAGGGGAGCAGAAGAGCGATTCACAGATGTAAAAGAGGCA